TCTTATGGTTTGTGTATTTCCTATGATGAGCTCCGCACATTTATGACTTCTGCTGCAGAGGAACAAATGGATAATAATAGTGATGTTTACATTCCTCCAGAAATCATACCTACAACACAAGGTGGTGCATTAATACATGAAGGAGATGATAATGTTGACATAAAGGCTGAAACGATTGATGAAAAAAACACTTTCCACTCTATGGCAAGGGTTATCTTCCAGCAACAGAATGTCAACTCTACCAGCAACATTCCAAGAGTAAAGAGTGGTGATAAAAAATCACTTATTCCAACAGAAGCAGGAAAATCACTGACTGAATGCAGATACTTCAAAAAGCCAACACAGCGTCCTGTACCTCCAAGATCAGAAAACCCTTTGGAAGTACTGAATAAATGTCTAGTAATGGTAAGTTGATTATTAACAAACTATTTGTGTAATTGTAAAATTAATATCATGGATACAGTGTATTGCCGAATTAAAAACCAACATTTCTATAATTATAATTTTTTCGATAAATTATCATATTTCAGAAAGAGAACATTGCTGTTCGTGATATTTCATGGGTATTTCTGAGGATGATGACACGAGGAGTATTGCCTTTATATTCTGATACACCAATGACCCAGGAAATCCCATTCTGGACTGGATACAATACACAGCTATCAAAGACCAGTGATACCTACACAGCAGTGGCCTACGCACCAATAATAGATGCCAAGCCAGCAGATATGGCTACAGTATTTACAACCATGGTCAAATGCAAAGAAATGACTAACCACCTGGGACAAGAAGTAACAGTTCAAACCATGGATCAGCAACTCTTTGCCATTGCTCAACAGGTTAAATGGGCAGAACCTCGTCTTTTCCATCATACAGTACTACGACTTGGCGGTTTTCACACGGCATGTACCTTCATAGCAACACTAGGTAAACATTGGGGTGAAGCCGGCCTGGGTGATCTACTCACAGATTCTGAGGTGTATGCAGCAGGCACAACTGCGCAGATGCTTGAGGGGAGACAGTATAATCGTGCTGTTCGTGGAATCACTTTAGCATTTGAGGCTTTGATGGCACACTATATTCAGGGATTTGTCAAGTGGTGTCCAACTGCGCTTCCAATTGTAGTAAGTGAAAAACTACAAACTGTACAATTTGAAGAATCTGTCACTGGCTTGGAGAAAACATGTGCTTCCAAATTTGAAAAGGTATGAAAAATGGGGCTCTACACAATCTCCTACCTTCAAGTTCTGGGTAATGTTTCTTCATGCAGTATCAACATTGTTGATGAACATACGAGCTGAAAGAGAAGGTGATTGGTCCATACACCTACAAAGTGTATATGACATGCTGCCATATTTCTTTGTTTGTGACAGAGTTAACTATTCGAGATGGAGAACGATTTACCTACTGAGCATGATAGAAATACCTGATAACATCAAGACTTTATTTGAAAGTGGACAGTTTTCAGTGTGACAAACAGCAGGTAAATTCAACGGCATCTGGTCAGACCTGGGCACAGAGAAAACTATAATCCGTGATGCTAAAGGAGACAGTGGAATAATTGGACTCACCAGAAAGAAGCCTGCTTTGGTTCGTTGGACCCTGACTCGTCACTTGCTAAGTGCTTATGACAACTCCATGAAGGAACGTAGTGGACTAAAAACAAATGACTCACATGTTCACAAGCAACAATACCCTGCTGCTATGAAACGTAATGAACAGCATGTTCAGACATTGATTAGCCACATATCTGACAGTATGACAAGCCCATTTGAGGTAGATAACCATCCTGAGAATGTCCTCATCAATATAGCCACAGGACTGCATGCAAGTGCTGATGTACAAGCACCCTTACTAAATGCCTGTGACAAAGGAGAAGAGAAATGTGCAACATTTATCCAATCAATATATGATGTCATCCCAAGATCTGGCCTTCTCACATTCTCTGATATGACCAAAATGACAAAGATCTCCTGCAAATGTAAAAAATATATATGTGAAGATGAATTCAGAGTTGATATTCTGTAGAGCTTTGGTCATAGCAAAGACACAGGAGCTAACCATGGACTTTCTCCTACAATACCCAATAACAGCAATACCAACTTCACTATTCCATGAAGATGGTCAGATGCGCAAAACAAGAAAGGATGATCTGGCTCACAAGCTAGAGGATAAGATGAAGAGTGTAGTTAGCCTGCCACAACTGCCTGCTTGGGATACTGTATATATAAGAGATGCAATGGCAATTATCCAGTCTACGAATGGTAATCAATTCAAAACATTTGACGACCTGGCCAGGGTGTACCTCCATGGAATGATACAATGTTTCTCAGGGGCAAACACTGTTGTTGAGGTATATGATAGATATGACAACCCAGAATCAGTTAAACAAGGAGAACATGATAGACGGCAAGCATTTGGACCAGAGGGAAGGCAGTATCAAGTCATCGGTGGACGAGCAGTGCCACCATGGAGAAAATTTCTAAACAGTCCAAGTAATAAAGCAGCACTTGCAGCCTTTTTGTCTCAGTATGTAGTAAATATGTCATTAGATCACCTTAATCAGAATCCGCATCACACCATATCTCTGGCTGGAGGTTTTACTGATGGCACTGTCACCAAATGTTTAAGTGCAGGCGTCTGATACAGATGTAATGGTTCTACTGATACATTATTTCATTCAGATGAAGAACACCTCACAGGTTTGGATGCGACTGGGTCGCACTACTTCTATATCTGACAAAT